GTTATTACCGTCTTAATATAATACCTCTTTTTCTTTTTATCTCTATTTTATAGAGAGTTTTAGGGGAACGCGTGGATATATAGTAATTACGACCCGGTTTCTAGAATATTCTAGTTTGATCTATGTTAAAATACTCTGTAATAAGATAGTAGTGATATCTACGTCGTATTTGCGGCAATTAGTACAAGTTCTCTATACAAAAACTTGACCTAAATTGGTATCATACAGCAAAATACAGAATTTCTATTGATTGAAATCCCCTTGTACAATAGAATACACTAGAAGCAAAATTGCACCTCTCAGTATTCCCTAAGCACCAAAGTAGAAGCACTATTGCCACCACAAGCCACGAGATCTGCGCCAAAAACTATGGAGATTGTCTGTGCTCACAGTTTACTTTTTAGGATTGAGGAACAAAGCCGATTTTGTAAGAGATGATAGCAATAGTTGATCAATATAAGTTGTGCAGCATCCAATTGCAGAGCCATGATCTTGGCTGACGGGAAAGCGCTCCCTAAGCGTCTTTCCCTGGCTACTTCTGAGTTGATTCAAATCTCTCGAATCACTAGTCGTCCGCGAGATCTCTAGAACCACGGCTCTATTACAATTGACTTCGGACCCAGGCTGTAACTATTCTGAACCAAAGCTAAGGTGAGATATTATCTGAATACTGTCCCTGGCTAGATTGATATTCAAAATAGAATATTACAGTACTAGTATAGCACTGCTCTAAGACGTGTAGGAGCGAATATAAGTTTGATTATACTATAACTAATAGGTTGTATCTAAGGATATTTTGAATATATCAAAAGAGAAAGAAGAAAAAGAATCCCCGAGCTCCTTTCAAGCTTCACTACCCATAACGCACAGACTCCAGCCCGATGTTGGCCCGTGCGCAACAATCATCTGGACAAGATACACGTGAGATGTCAATGTCACAATATACTTGAAATTATATTTACTCTTTATATTATATTCTCGGGTTATTTGTATATATGCCTTTATTATAGAAAACTCGTTATAATATTAATGTCACATAACGTGGGATAATTATACCAGCAGAGTGAACTTCTGCTAAGGCATTTAAGTGAGCGTAGTAGATTGATAAATAGGACGCTTGATTCTAAAAAAAAACTATAAGAGCATAGCTATTTATATGTACAAGGTCGCGAAGTGATCAGTTAGTACTTAGTAACTGTAGGGGGAGCTTTTCCACTATGTCTTAGGCGCGGCATTTTCCGTGACAATTAATTATATATATGTGAACCTTTAAATATTTATAATAACTTTGATTGAAAAGTAATAAACACGGTCTAGATAGGAGAAAATATCAAAAACCAAACCACAATATAAAAGTACAAAGCATGGTGCCAAATATAGAAAAACTCGGGTTGAACCATTTCGCCTATGCAAGCTCGTATGGGATTCGAGGACTTCCGTCCACTGGTATAGGGTCAGGATATATTTGATCCCCACATGCTGCAGCACAACCAACAATCTTATCGAGGGGGGTAAGGAAACTATAGTCCATTATGCCAAGCACAGTGTGGCCCGCAGCGTCCTTGGTGCCTTTTGCTTGCTGGACCACTTCGAGGGATCAGCAATTATTTTTGAAGACCTAGGGGGTGGGGGTAAACATGGGGTAAACATACCTGCTGGGACATCAGAAGCACAGGTGCGCTGAAGATAACCATATAACCTCGCATTGTGTTGAGCAACCCACGTCGAATGACACTTTTGGTCATTCCAATTGCATGTTGCTTGGCTACTTTCTGCTGTGCAGATGGTGTCGCTTTTGGAAGAGCTGTGCTTGTAAGAATACTTGGGACTTACACCGAGGGTCCACTTCTTTTTAAAAACGGTGAATTCAAATTTGTTTTCGATATTGGCTTCGAAACCGTGCTCGGCACCGCTCGTATGAGTTACACACGATTGACCAAGCGCTACTGTTGTAGTGCTACAGCTATTAGACTTCGCACAATCTATCGAGAACCCCGTTGGTTCCCACTCGCTATACTCAATTGAAGTCTCAACTAAGTACTGCTCAGTCCTATATTAACTTAGCTCGCATGCTCTGTTGATGCAGTATATGACACTTACCAACACCACACTTTGCTCCCTTTTGTATCACAAGCATCAACCCCGTTGGGATCCCTTTTCTCAACTTTGGTCCCCTGTCCGATCTTATACGTCCCAGAATATGGGATATTGTTAGCGGGATCCGGGGTACAATCTGGCATCTTGTTTGGAAGTAAGTTTGTGCGAGAAGAAAGATCGCTGACAGTATCGTCCCGTTTATTGAGAATACTGAGGTCGATTTTGAAGCCAGTTGCTTCAATTGCGGCAATAAGTTCTTTCGTTGTACTTTCACTTAGGGGTCGGCTCTTGAGACGATTTAGATCAAAATTTATTTTGTTAAGCTTAATGGTATCGATTAGCACGCTGATTGAGTCGTTACTAAGGGGTTGATGCTTCGTTATGACCGAATCCCGCTTCTCGAAAATATTGTCAAGGTCGAGGCCATTCTTTTCAAGATGATCTATAACAAGCCTAGCTGATTCTTTACTTATGGATTGACGTACAGCGAGCTCTGTCGGGTGCGCAGAAACTGGAGAAGTAGTCAGGGCAAGGAGAAAGGAGAACAGAAGTATTTGCATGATAGCAGCAAAGCACTCCTAGCTTGAGAGGTAGGCTTGTAGAATAAAAGTGAGGAATAATAGGATGAAGAATAATAATTGCGGGCGCTGCCAGAAGGGTTATTGCAGAAGCTAGAGTATAATCAGTTGACTTGATTTTGGGTTGATACGAAAAACACCTGTCTTAAGTATTCAGAATTTCCTCGATTATGTGCATTGTGGATCCCTGTTTATAAGCATAGCCTCAACAAAGAAATCGGCGATACGGTAGTATCCACCGGACCTCGTGAATTTAATCCTTTTCGCTTTGTGGTCATATAACTGGGCCCCTAAAATTGTATAACCCCGGTATTAACTATTCCCTCGCTAACACGAAGGGATCAAAAACACACGGCTCTAACCTATTCAATGTATGGGGAAAGACAGGACTGCTTCTGCAAAGGGTGGCATGAAATAAATTCGAAACCTGAATTTGCATATAGATCTTTGGCCAATTTCAGTATTTTGTGTAACTTTCCAGTTGAAAATCAAGGAGTTCTTTGGTAACCTTGCAAAGAATGTCAAACCACCAACAAACAAATTCTTGGCGACCGCTACGGTTTAAGAGGCTCATCGCAGGAAGCATCTTACAGCCTGAAGCACCGCTGTGCCGTGTAGGATCACAAGGCTTAACATACTCTGCATGGCGCATGTTAAAATTCAAGGTAGGGAGCAAACGATGAATGGGTTTCCCAAGGAATAAGTCTAGTAACTCCAAGGGGCGGCAGCAATGCAGATATTGTTGTGCTTATTTTACTAAGCGCGAGTTCTCCTTTCCCAGATCCTTCAAGGCAGATGTGGTATACTAACTAATCACTTCGCGATCCTGTATATATAAATAGCTATGCTCTTATAGTTCCTTTATAATCAAGCGCCCTATTTATCAATCCACTACTTTCACTTGAATGCCTTAGCAGAAGTTTGCCCTGTTGGTACAGCTATCCCACGTTACGTGACATTATAAGTATAGTAGATACGAACAATTAATAAAAGGAATTTTATAAAAAGATCCAGGAAATCGATCAAACAAGGGTTTTAAAGAAGGAAGTATTTAAATTAAGACAAGTATAGAGCAGCAAGGAATTTATAGAGGGAAGAGAAGTACTCTCCTTAGGGACATCTATGTTAATCCAACTTCCACCATAGGGCCCAACGCTAAAATCGTGTCTCAATCCGTCATTAACCCTAAAACACTCCTTTATATAGCTCTATCAATAATCAATTCCAAAACTAACTCAGAACTGCAATCAGCAAGCAACAGCTCCTAGTATACCCTGGTTCAACATCTTTGTTTTGTTAGGCTGGAGTCTCTTTGCCATGCGCATCGCTCACTCAACAAAAGAACACTTAAAATCCTCAATTCAAAATACTACTTGCAGCATTGCCAACTATAAACAATTTTCATTCCCCTCCACTATTTCGCAAGCGCTAGCTCTGGCGGGGTTGGAAAAGAGGAAGAGAGAACGCGGAGAGTGGCGGGGGGCAGATGGCTTACTTTGGACAAGATAGGAGGTCGCGGCACCTTTGAAGTACAACTACTAGTAGGCAGAGGTGTATGGTTACAAGTATCTAGAAATTGATCCTGCCAAAATAATCAACTAAAAAACCAGCGACACCTAGCTCGACTTATACTGTAAAAGTCTGTTTACACTTACACATTCTCCTTTAAATATAGACCTCCTTGTACGTTGATTTATTGGTATGAAGAACTTTTAGAATGTGCAAATCTCTTTGGTAAAGGAATCTGGATCACACAATACTATTTACAAGAGGTGGTCTGTTGCTGACCAAGTATATTGTTGGAATTAAAGACTCCAGCCAATCGGATGACTAAGTGTCATCAACGCAACGCGATTTGGGAGGGGCTCAATCAGGGTAAATCAAGTATATTGGCAACAGCGTACAGTCTCTTGCTGTCTTCTCTTGTCTTGTACTGTCTAGTTTTGTACAGAATAAACTACGAAAGTCTTCAGGCCACATATGGAGGACAACTAGTGAGACGTGCCTGAAACACACGTGCTGGAGCAAGCACTTGCCTGAGGCCTTCGGGCCTCACATCAACATATATTAGAATTCCCTGTCATCACGTGAGCGCATTCTTTTATCAAACTCCCCCAGTAGAGGCTGATATAAGGGGCCAAAGAGCTTGAATGTTCGAAAAATGAGAAAGTGGTAATATAGTTTAGGCTGGTTAAAGTTTTTGCATGCAAAATAGTGGGTTTTGGAGCTATGGAGTCATTTTGATTGGCCATCGTAGAAAGTTTATTGGATACCAAAAATCTTATTTTATAAGATCAAATAGCAGGTTCTGCTTCAACAACAATAGCGTTTGTGGTTTAGTGGTAAAATCCATCGTTGCCAAGATCTTCTGACTGGAAGAGTTCAGCTTCGATGGGCCCCGGGTTCGATTCCCGGCGAACGCAATTATTCACCTTTAAATTCTTTTTGTTTCTTGGGATGTTGTTGTGTTGATTTTGGTATGGCGAAGAAATAGGAGCGGGGAAGTTAAAGTTGGAATTTATGCTACCAATTTTTTGTGTGCCATGCGCTTGTGTGGTCAGGAACCGGGGAAGTGATTTGTCGAAGCTCCAGCTTACGTAAACACCCCTGCCCTATTCCTATGACGTTTCTGTAGCAAGCAGCTCAATGTCAACAACTACAACCTGAAAATGGCAGATAACACCACGATATCAGAGCTTGACGTTTACATATTAACATATAATTGTGGACTAAAAGGAATCGACATAGATGCGTTTGCATCTCAACTTTTCTCCGGCCTCACCTCCTCAAAGCTTCCAGATATCCTCGTCCTCTCCCTTCAAGAAATCGCACCTATACCTTACGCGCTCATAGGCGGATCGTTCCTCGTCCCATATTTCTCAAGATTCTATCATGCTGTTCAAAAGGCTGCGAAGAAGCTGTCTGCAACTAGCGGACCGGTCTACTCTCCGATAGCAGCAAGAAATCTGGGAATAACAGCTGTGATGGTTTTCGCGAAGGATTCTACAGCAATACAAGGAATAGAGACTGGCGGAATAGGTGTTGGATTGGCGGAGATGGGGAATAAAGGTGCGGTAGGCGTGAGGTTTACATATCATGAAAATGGAGCATCGACGGAGTTGACATTCGTCGCTGCACATCTTGCGGCCATGGAGGATGGACTCAAGAGGAGAAACGAGGATTGGAAAAGCATAGCTCGAGGGTTGATCTTCTCGTCCACGACATCAGATAGCAAGAAGGCTGCTATATCACAGTCTGCAGAGACAAGGCCACTACTTTCGATTTCTCCTAAAGATGCCTCGATCTACAAGCCAACCTCACATCTCTTTGTTGCGGGCGACCTAAATTACCGAACTTCTCCATTTTCTCCAGCTCCAAATGACCATATTGATTCCTTCCCGCAGCCACATTATGATCGATCCTCACCAAATCATTACTCCGCGCTCTTTGAATCCGATCAGCTAAATCAGGAACGCCGGGCAGGACGGACCTTGCAAGGCCTGACAGAAGCTGCAGTCACATTCCCTCCAACATACAAATATGATCTGAAAGAACCGTTCTTGACACCAGATGAAGATCTTACACAATGGCACTGGGCGAAGCACCGCTGGCCAAGCTGGTGCGATCGAATTTTATACTTGGACATTCCATCTTGGCTCTCAACTAGCAAGCCACAAGCCAAAATTACCACACATAAATATTCTGCCTTACCCTTGCTTCCAACTTCAGATCATCGCCCGGTGGCGCTGGAGGTATCTGTACCACTAGTCCAAATTCCGAGTCCGCCTGAAAATGATGAAGGTAATGACCCGAGAATACACCCTCCATTTGAGTTGGATATCAATTGGAAGGCACGAAGAGAGCGTGCAAGGACAATGGAGCTGGTTGTGGGATTCACCATGTATTTCACTACGACATTGGAAGGTGCTGGAATTATGGTTGCGATGGTAGTTGGCACTGTGGGTGCTTATTTCGCACTCAAGTCTATGTTGGAGTTTTAAGCATCTGAGAATACATCATCCTCGGATAATAGAGCTTTGTTACTAGGTTTATAGCCTTCTCTACTTTTCATGATTATTAATTAAGCTTCAAGTGAAGCAACTCAACCTAAGCAGGTCTTCTAAATAAAATTCCTGTCTCCGACAAATAAACCTTAATAATTCCTGACAGCCTGTATGTGGTTATGCACTGCAAATGTGCTGATTGCGCTACCAAACTTGTTGCCTCATGGACTTGGTTTTGGTCCCACATCAAACAAGCCTTTGGTAATTCTGTATTAAAACTAGGATTCCATGAGAATGTTGTTGTGCTTACTAAGAGTTCCAGAGTGAGATAATATCCTAGTTTGTTAGATAGTTTCTAATTCCAGATCCTTCGAGCAAAGATATTGTGCGTGCTTAGCGTCCCAGAGCGACAACATGTCTAATAAATAGGTAACATTGCAGGACTTGCCAACGTTCTTTTCTTTAAAAAAAATAAAAAATATTGGTCAAGCTGTGCATGGCATGATAAGTACTGAAGGATGTCTACAGTGGTCCTAGTGTAACTGAAGGTGCCTGATGGTTGCGGGACATTCATAAATCATTCCTACTTGTGGCTGCTTTCTGTCAACCCCTGACAGTTATTTCAACATGTAGTGCTTTGAGCTCGCCACAAGGGGAAAATGACCTAGCGTCAAGAGCATCATAACCTTTAGGCATCTTCATATTCCTGGGGCGACGATAAGCTAAAAAGGAAGGAGTGAAACCTACGTAGCTAGGTCTAGCCCTGCAGCATTTCATGGCATGCAAATTTCCAGAAGAAAGGAAGAAAGCCTTCCAATGAATTTTAGGCAGAGTTTCGATAGACGAGCGATTTAAGTCATGTCCCACTTCAGCGAGTCAGGGTGAGACATTCCCCAAGGTTTTTATCACGTGTATATCCTTTTTCGAAGGTTTCTTATCCAACGCCAAGCAGCGGAATTGGCTCAGTGTAACACCAACCTCCCCGGTAGTGATCAGTTAAGTGTGGGGTAGATCGACATCTGGGGACATTAGTGCTCAACGCATAGCGATAAGATAGCGCGAAATTAAGTTTAATTTCAACCACACTCCTAATCTTCTCGCCTACATTCAACTTTTTTTTCGTGAAGGAGGCATCTTGTGAGCGCTTTTGTTAGTGTTGAGGCCTGTGGTGGCAACGGAAACGATATGGCAGACGAGGTGTTGACTCATAATCGTACTCTCGAGTCGATCGACAAGTCAAATGCGGATTGCGATGAGGATATGAGGAGGGCAGCTTCAAACGTGGCGACAGATGCAGGACTCATTGGGCGTGGGCATGTTGAATTGACGGAAGAAGATGTAAACCGCCTTCTGGAAGCTTTAGAAATGGTCTGATATTAAACAGAATAAAAGGATTCGACAAAAGACGGATAAGGTTATTCTGAGTATCCTAGTATGGGTGTATTTTCTTCAGGTATGTTGCCATGTTGAAAGATTTGAATAAATGCTAAAATGATGATAGATTCTTGATAAATCCGTTCTTGGTTATGGCTCAATCTTCGGACTTCAAAAAGATACCGGCTTAAAAGGAAATCAATATTCCCTTGTTGGATCCATCGCACCAATTGCCCAGCTAGCGTGGCAACCCTTCTCCTCAATCCTCATCGTAAAAGTCCCACATAGAATACTCATGCCGTGTCTTGTTCTCGGCTGGGGTATCGCTCAAACGGCAATGGCAGGATGCAAGAATTATTCGAGTCTTCTCGTCACCCGATTTTTTCTCGGTCTGTTCGAAGCTGGGTGCTTACCGCTGTTTAGTGTTATTACCAATCAATGGTATCGGAGAGCGGAACAACCTATTCGAGTTGCGGCGTGGTATAGTACGAATGGCCTTGCGACTATTGTTGCTGCTGCTTTGTCTTATGGTTTGGGTCATATTCCTTCAGAAACACTGAAGTCGTGGCAAATGTAAGTGCAAGTTAATTCCGTCAAATGCCGCCGCACCAAGTTGGAGACTGTCCTCTCTACGAGCGAAGCTGGCGGCCTCTGTCAATCATTTACTAAAAACCCCCAGTATCTTCCTTTTCGTGGGTCTCGTAACCATAGTTAGCGCCCCATTCGTATATTGGAAACTTGACAATTCAATCACAACAGCCCGCTTCTTCACGCCCCATGAGAAATTGCAAGCGGTCGAGCGACTCCGTGCCAATCAAACAGGCATTGGTTCTCGAGTTTTTGAATTATCTCACTTGTATGAAATCCTCCTCGAGCCTAAAACCTATCTCTGGATTAGCATGTCCCTCCTCCTCAACGTTGGTGCATCCGTTACAAATACCTTTGGTCCCCTGATTCTTTCTGGACTCAACTACAACAAGTATATCACATCACTCCTCAACATGCCATTCGGCCTCTTGCAATTCATCCTTATCCTCCTATCCTCGTACCTGGCACAACACTACCGGCTCAAATCGCCCATCCTCCTCGCCCTCGTCCTTCCAGTCATCGCTGGTCTTGCAATATTATTCGCCCTACCACGATCACACTCCAACACTGCCCCACTGCTCGTCGGATACTACCTCCTCGCCTTCCTCTTTGGCTCAAACCCCCTAATCGTCTCCTGGATCGTCGGCAATACCGCCGGCACTACCAAAAAATCTGTAATGATGTCTCTCTACAACGCCGGTTCCGCAGCTGGGAACATCATCGGCCCTCTCCTCTTCAACTCCAAAGACGCACCTTCATATCATCCTGGCCTTCGAGCAGTATTAGGGATTTTTGTTGCTTTGGCAGGAGTAATTTTGCTACAGGTTGGAGTATTGGTGGTATTGAATAAAAGACAAGGGAATAGGAGGGTAAAAAATGGGAAGAAGAGGAATATAAGGGATGTTAGTATGGAGAATGAGTACGTGGGTATTGAGGCGGAGGGTGAGGGGGTTGGGGAGCATTCTTTTGATTTGACGGATGGGATGAACGATGAGTTTGTTTATATTTATTGATGTGTTGAAAGAAATAACGAATAAAAAGTAGAATCCACGATACCAAATGATAGCCATTTTAGAAAGGGATACCCCCACATAATAGTGCCACCACCATAGAATTATCAGCTGACTCCGAATTATTCGACAATTTGAAAGTTCAAGAGATGAAAGAGAAATACATCAGGACCTTCACCAGAGACCGGACTGTGTCCCAAAACCCCCGGTACATTCACAACAACTCAGTGGCATCCATTTAAGATACACCAGCCTTAGGAGAGTAGTAGTGAAAGACTACCCTAAGGTGTTTGGAGGATCGAGTTTTCGTCGAGAATCTAGCTACTCTGTGGTGAAGCCGCCACATAACAGCGTAGGCTTTCTAAAAAAAAAAAAAATTAAAAAAAAGCATTGCTCTCCAACATTAAAAGTGAGCGAATCATTATACAGTAGAAGGATAATCTTCTC